TTAGATGAGGAGATCTATATGGAGGTACCACCTGGTTTTGAAAGCAAGAAGGGAATGGTATGTGAACTGAAGAAGACACTCTATGGACTAAAGCAATCACCCCGTGCATGGTTTGGAAGATTTACAAAGTTTATGATCAAGCTAGGCTATCGGCAGAGTCAAGGAGACCACACCTTGTTCATAAGGCACTCAAAAACAGGAATGGTAACTGCTCTACTAGTCTATGTAGATGATATCATAGTAGCAGGTGATGATTCAGAGGAGATACACAATTTGAAGAATTGTTTACTCAAGGTATTTGATATCAAAGATCTTGGNTTGATCAAACTACTCAACCACAATTATCTCCTCATGTTCTTGCTCCTAATACCTATCCTGAACCTGTTGAACCATCAGAAACACCAAACCAAACTGATCATGAAGATCATAACCAACCAAATGATCTTGACCTTCCCATTGCACTTAGAAAAGGAACCAGAACCTGCACACAACACCCTTTGTGCCTTTCCTTGACATATCAAAACCTATCCCCAAGCCATAAAGCTTTTCTCAGTAACCTCCACACAATTCCTGTTCCAAAAAATTTGTTTGAAGCATTAGACAACAAAGAGCGGGAAGAAGCTATGAAGGTGGAAATGGAAGCATTGCAGAAGAATAAAACTTGGGAAATGGTGGAATTACCAAAAGGGAAAAAGCCGGTAGGGTGTAGATGGGTGTTTACCGTGAAATACAAGTCCGATGGGTCTATAGAAAAATTTAAAGCACGTTTGGTAGCAAAGGGTTACACACAGACCTATAAAATTGATTATTTGGAGACTTTTGCCCCAGTGGCAAAAATGAATACAGTGAGGATCTTATTGTCATTGGCTGCGATTTTTAATTGGAACCTACAACAATTTGATATTAAAAATGCTTTTCTACATGGAGATTTAGATGAGGAGATCTATATGGAGGTACCACCTGGTTTTGAAAGCAAGAAGGGAATGGTATGTAGACTGAAGAAGGCACTCTATGGACTAAAGCAATCACCCCGTGCATGGTTTGGAAGATTTACAAAGGTTATGATCAAGCTAGGCTATCGGCAGAGTCAAGGAGACCACACCTTGTTCATAAGGCACTCAAAAACAGGAAAGGTAACTGCTCTACTAGTCTATGTAGATGATATCATAGTAGCAGGTGATGATTCAGAGGAGATACACAATTTGAAGAATTGTTTACTCAAGGTATTTGATATCAAAGATCTTGGAAAATTAAAGTATTTTTTGGGAATTGAAGTAACACATTCTAAACAAGGAATCTTTAGTTCCCAACAAAATATGTGCTTGATTTGTTGAAAGAAACAGGAAAATTAGGGTGTAAACCAGTGGCCACACCAATTGAATATAATCATAGGTTGTGTAATTCTCCGGAAGATTCTGTGGTAGATAAAGGCTCGTATCAAAAGCTTGTAGGGAAATTGATCTACTTGTCCCATACGAGGCCAGACATTGCTTTTGCTATAAGTGTCGTTAGCTAATTTATGCATGACCCTAGAGAAATGCATCTCCAAGCGGCGAACAGGATTCTACAATATCTTAAAGGAAGCCCCGGAAAAGGAATACTATTCAGAAGAGGAGGAGACATGGTTTTAGAAGCTTATACTGATGCGGATTATGCTGGTTCATTAGTGGATTGAAGGTCAACTTCTGGATACTGTACCTTTTTAGGAGAAAATTTTGTGACTTGGAGAAGTAAAAAACAGAATGTGGTAGCTAGATCAAGTGCAGAATCCGAGTTCAGATCTATGGCGATGGGAGTTTGTGAGTTGTTATGGTTAAAGATAATCCTTGATGATTTGAAGATAAGATGGGAAGGACCTATGAGACTATATTGTGACAATAAATCAGCAATAAGTATAGCTCATAATCCCGTACAGCATGATCGCACTAAGCATATTGAGGTAGATAGACACTTCATTACGGAGAATTAGATAGTGGACTCATCTGTACACCATTTGTATCTACAAAAGATTAGTTGGCCGATGTTTTAACAAAAGGACTGCCAAGCAATGTGTTTCAAGACCTGATAAGCAAGCTAGGAATGGAAGATATCCATTCACCAGCTTGAGGGGGAGTGTTGAATGATAGAGGATTTCCAAGAAGATATTCTCCATATCAAGATTTGATCCTCTAATGTTTATATCAAGTTTTGATTCTCTAAGATCTTTCCATATTAAATTTTGATTCTTTGTTTTATTTTATTTTGTATAATCCCAGATTTTATGGGATTTTGTTAGAGTTTATGGGATTTTGTTTCTAACCTCTTCTTGTATATAAAGCCATGTATATGACATTCAAAAATATGAATGAAAATTTTCAAGTTTCTTACTCTTTCCACATACGACAACCTTGCTCGTGTTTGCCAACTGGGAATCCATATCAACTTTCCTTCTCAATATCATAGGGGTCATCTGTGGGTGTATATTTCTTTGTAGGAATACTTAGTTTCCCTGCTGTCTATCTCTAGGAATGCATAATTTCTCTTCTTTGTAGAAATTAAGTCTTAATTACTCCTCTCAACTCTATATATACTATGGATGTGTGTGTATATAAATATATATAAAACTTCAATCAACTCTAAAGAGTACTATTGACATGTGTTCTGTCTACAAGGAGCTTGAATTACAGTGAAGCCAAGAAGAGCGTTTATATCATTCATTTTACTTTGTCCCAGCACTTATTTACCTCTCATGGCTAATCAACTTTCATTTGTTTGTAGATTTTGAGAAGAAGAAAAGGTTTCTTATATGTTTATATATGTTTACATCTCATGAACAAAAGAATTTATACAAAGCTCCTAATGCTAATTAAGGAAGTAAAATAAATCTATACAATCAATCCAGCTATCAAATCAAATAAAATCAGATCTCCTAAATATAATCAAATCTCCTGAAATCATGTTAATCAACAATCTCATAAATCAAATCTCCTTGAATCATGTTAATCAACACTCCCCCTCAAATTGGTGCAAAGATGTCGTACATGCCCAGCTTGCAACTCAAAGTATGGAAAGTTAGCTTGTTGAGACCTTTGGTAAAACATCAGCTAGCTGTTTTTCTGATGGTACATAAACAAACTTAAGACACCAGTTGTAACTTCTTTTTGATGAAGTTTCGACCAATTTCCACATGCTTTATTCGGTCATGTTGGACTGGATTATGAGCTATACTGATGGCAGCCTTATTGTCACAGTACAAGGAAAGTTTTCCTTTTTCTGACAGTCTCAATTCCTAGAGTAGCTTTTGTAGCCAAAGCAATTCGCAAACACCCTAGGCTATAGCTCTATATTCTGTCTCTGCTCTTGATCTAGCAGCTACACTTTGCTTCTTGCTTCTCAAAGTAACCAAGTTTCCTCCTACGAGCGTATAATAACCGGATGTAATTCTTCTGTCATCTAGAGATCCAGCTCAATCCGCGTCTGTAAAGGCTTCTATTTGGATGTGATCATGTTTGGAGAAAAGTAGACCTTTCCCTAGAGTAGACTTCAGATACCGCAAAATGTGAAAGACAACTTGCATATGAGTATCTTGGGGATCATGCATGAACTGACTGCCAGACTAACTGAATAAGCTATATCTGATCTAGTGTGAGAGAGATAAATTAGTCTTCCAACCAACCTCTGATATCTCTCCTTATCAACTCACTCTCCAACTCCGCTTTGTAACTTGTGATTGCTTTCAATGGACGATTTTGCGGGTCTGCAACCTGTCATACTAGTTTTTTTCAAGAGATCTAGAATATATTTCCTTTGAGAAATAAAGATTCCTCTTTTTGATGTAGCAACCTCAATTCCTAAGAAGTACTGCAATTTTTCTAGATCCTTGATCTCAAGTTCATGTGGCAACAACTTCTTCAATCGAGCTATCTACTCTTTGTCATCTCGTGTCATTACTATGTCATCAACATAAACTATGAGAAGAGTGAGTTTACCCATTTGATGTCTTATGAAGAGAGTATGATCAATATTGCTTTATTGATAACTATGGCTGTCCAACGGGACGGGTTGGCCCGTCCTATCCCGATCCGGTCCCGGCCCACTAAATATTAAACGAGACTGGGTCTATATTAAACAGGACATGGGATGGGACAGGCTGCCCATTTTGTCCCGGTGGGCCGCCCCTTAAGGTCCCGTCCCGTCTCGCTAGCCCGCGTGTTTTTTTTCTTCTTTTTTTTTAGAAAGAGTTGTTGGCCAACGACTTTTTTTTCA